ATACTTTTAAATAATAAAAACAATCATAAGTTATAAAATTAAAACTTATTCATATCACATTTTATCTTGTTTACAATTATTAACAAAATAATCTTATAATCAGGATATAAATAATGCTAAACTAACTAAAACTTTGAAAGAAGAACTTGCCAAAAAGATTATTCACAAAAAGAAAAGTAAAATTATCTTACTTATATTCACTATCATGACTAAAATATATGATTTTCTAGAAGATTTAGCTTAACAAAAAGCAAATATAACTGTTGCTCAACTTATTCAGATCTTACCTTCACAAAGAACTTAACTATCAAAAGAAATATACCAAGCTATAGCATTAAAATCAAAAAGAAAAAGAAGAGTATTGCTTGGATAAAAACTCAAAATCACATCTGCTTAGTGTGAAACAAAAGTTGAAAAGAATATTATTGATTTAATCATTAATACCAGTATCTCTGGATGTGTCACTATACATAACTTTATAAAAGAAATGGGATTGAAAATATAATGTAGCTCAAATATTTCAATATTAAATATAAATAAAATAGCTAAATAATCTCTTGGAGCTATTAACAACTTACTCTTAAACATTGATGGAATTGTGATTCCTACTAAAGTAGATATTACTAAAATGAAAATATACTCAGTAATTATTAGAATGGACTCTTAAATAAATCAAAGCTAATATTAATATCCAAAAAGAATTACTTATCTTTGAATATAATGATCAAAAAGGAAAAGTACTTATTAAATTTATTTGTAATAATAGAGGAAAACCACTATTTGAAGATATAAGTTCTAAAGAAGATGAATTAGATAAAGATTCTGAAAGTGAATTTGAGAAATAATACTTGAAAAAAAAGACTTTTCTCATGTGATAGCATGACAATTGGAATAGTATAACTCCTAGATAACAAGAATTTCAGGATGATAATAATATTAAAATCATTATCAAAAAAGCTTAGACCCCTATTAAAACTTCAAATCAAAGATTAAAAGATATTAACTTTGAAGAAATACCATTTCAAATTATCCAAAGTATTAAAAGAATTCATAAAGTACAAGCCTATCAGGAAGAAATCAAAATCAAATAGAAGAAATACACTTGAAAAGATTTTAAATGACTTGACAAGAAGTTTACTCAATCCTGTAATTGGAATAACTAATAATTATTTGACTGACAAGAACCAAACAGTCAATACTAGTATTATAGAAATCTTTTTATGTCTAATCATCAATATTACTGATGCTATAATGATCTTACTGACTGAATAGCAATCAAAATTCATAAACCTTTTTGTGCTGAATTCAAAATTAATAAAGATTAGGCTGATGAAGTTGAACAAGAACTCTTCATTAACAAAAGAGTTAAAAAAAGTTTTGATACATATCAAGCTGCTATATAACAAATTTATCCTAATTCTCAGATTAAAAGATGTTGTGAATATGAAAAATATATAGATAAATATTATACTGGAATATATTTTAAAATGAATGGAGAAAAAGTAACTGTCTATAACAATTGCATCAGAGAAAAATAATTAAATCTTTCTGCCTGTTCACAATATGATGAATATAATAAACCTAGAGAAATGTTTGTTACTAAAAGCTATCAAAAATAATACTTCTGTACTTATGAATATTAATAAGTTTATTGATTTAATCATGAAGAATAAAGAAAGAATATTAAAATAATCAATAAGCTTAGAGATCAAGAAATATTATTAGAAGTTTATGAAGAATGTGATGAAATTGGCAAAGCAATTTTATCTTACTTTATATATGAAAATGATTTTGTTTATGAAATTATTTATGAGAATTTTGTAAAAGTCTTCACCATTAAAATATTTTAATACATTTATCAATAACTCAATTCTAATCAAAGATAATAGCTTGCTCACTTGGATTATATTAATGTAAAACTCTGTTAAGAATATCTAATTCCTTGTGATAATGATAAATATGATAATTGTACACAATTTGGACTCCCAGTTAAACTGAATAAAGAAAAATGTCCTATAACTTTGAACCTGATCCCAGAAGAAGCAATAACAAATAAATTAATTAAAGAAATTAGCTTTACTTCTATTTCAACTCAACCTTCTTAACTCAAATTAAATGAAATACAGTCAACTCTCTTTATAAGAACATGGTTGGGCCAGAAAATTGGGTTCTTATATAAAGATATTCTTATAAATAAAAAATCTCTTTATAAGAACATTATATATATAGTATTGAATAAAGTTCTTATATAGGAGTTTTATTAATAAAAAAACTTGCTAACATATTTTCATATAAAAATTATTATTTAAACTTGTCAAGCATCCAAACTTGTTTATTTTTTCGCTTCAATTTTTATCACTTTGAAAATTAATACCTTTTTACATAATATTTTTACCTTATCATTACTAAATACAGTTTCTGTTTGTTTATAAAATGTGATAAGGATTTTTAATATATTATTTACTTCCATTATGAATATGGGAGGTGGTGAAGGTTCTTTATTTTCCTCATCCAAATTAAGTATATCATTTTCTATTATATCATCAGCCTAAAGCATATCAACAATTTCACTATCCTCAAGTAATTCTTCTATCATAACAAACTCTTCAATAATATTAATATATACTTCCATATCTTGAACAAGATGTTGAATAGCTTGATTAGTAGTATCAAGATAATGTAAAGAATTCAGAATCTCATTTCACATGTCTAAAGCTTTATTTAACATATTATTTGCTTGAGTGTCTGTAGTATCAGTTTCAGAAAGAATTCCTGTTGAATTCTAGCAATTTTGTATTATTTCTTATGTAATCTCATTTCAACGTAAAAAGTATAATTAATTACTTGTTTTATATTCAATTTGTTCCTAAAAACATAAAAAAAGAGTGATAAGTTAAAGAATAGTAGAGCGGAAGAAGAGAATGGTGGTGTAGGAGAAGAGAATAATGGAGCAGAAGAAGAGGAATAGTGGAGTGGATGAAGAAAAATAGTAGAAAATGAGTCAGAAACAAGAAATTAATAAATGATAAAGTCAGACAGATCACAATTGATTTGTCTGCTGATTTTTTAATTTTTTATTAAAATTGTTATAGAATATACTTTGTAATGTCAATTCTATGCTCAAATTGGTCTAGAATGTGATAGTAATAATACTGATGATAGTATATTTTAAAGAACTTGATAATTCCTATATCAAGTGATTGCAAGTGAATAGTTATATTTGACAGAATGTAATAAATACAGATATTTGTGAGATGGAATGGTGACTGAAAAGAATTTTCAGTTATAATCTGAGCTTTCTTGCCTTTTTTTTGCTTTTTGTAGCCACTCATCCTTGTAACTGATCTCATTTTCTGTAACTACTGGTAGAACTTTCTGTAATTAGTTCATTTTCTTTTTCACTTAATAAACTAACATTATCTTCTTCCATTATCTCAGATAAATTATCTACATTACTACTTGATTCATCTGCATTCATGATTATATTATGTGATGGAGTATTATTAACAAGCAGAAGCACATATCATTGCTGGATTTGAAAATTCTCATTAATATATTTTAACCAACTTTTTCAGATTTCTTTATACATTCATGCATTTGAGTTGTATTAGTACATAATGAGCAATAAGAAAATATTAATTCTCTTGAATGAATATAGAGATTTGATAGTACTAATTATGAGAGATTTGAGTTTGTGAGTTCTAGTAATATTTGTAGTTAACAAAACAGTAATTTATATTTTATCCTAAATATAATTAATGTATTAGTAAGAGAAAATATTGGCATAAATAAAAGAACTTTAAAAACTTACTATTTTTTTGCCAGCAGTCTGATACTTTGTAAGAGTTTAGTTTGGGGCCATCCGGTAAAACAAATCAGTTTCATTTGTATTATAAATGATTTCAGTTTTATATTATGATAACAACTCATGCAGTTTTTTTCTTTCTTCAGGTAAATTTTCAATTAGTGCTGAATTAGCTTCATTATGAAGCTGGAAAGCTTTTATACTATTATGCACTTTAAATCTTCCTATCTAACTATTTGATTATTAAAGAGTATCCTTACCAAATCCAAAAAGAGTGGCAAAACATCTAGCCTTTTCTTTAAGAAGTATCTTAGTTAAAATTAATTCTGTAGCAGATACTTGGTTAACCCAAAAATTCAAGACTCTTTCTAATAAGAGAAATTTTGGTGAATAGTACTTGTAAGTTATTTCTGATGTTTTGTCCAAGTTAATATTGCACCAGTGGTCTGATTTTTTTAATATTTTTATAATAGTTAGCCACATAATACCAAGATCAGGATATTTTTTATTAAAATGGTTGACTATATCCTTATAGTGAGTACCTGGTGATGCTTTGATCCAGAATAAGCTTATTTCTTTGCGCATAACATCACTAAGTACTGCATATTTTTTTTCTTGCAAATTAGATCTTTAGATGGCATATTATAATAGAAAGACCAAAGAAAAAGGCAAAAATATTGCAATGAAGTGTTTTAGTCAGGGATAGGTAAATAAAATTATTTAAGAACAGGAATGAGGTAAAAATAGAGCAAGAATATAAGAAATTATTAGCAATTGAGATAAAATAAGCAATTGAAGAGGTTTAAAGCATACTGTATAAAAAAGTTCTAATAAAGAGTCTTGCAAGTAGCAAGAATAATTTTTCACTAATTTGTTATCTCGCAATTTATAACTAAATTACTAATAAATATGATTGGCTAATCATAATTAATGTCATGTGTTATGTTCTTATTCAAAAGAAAACTAATTAGAACTGAGACTGAATAATATATTTATGTTCTTATAAATTATAATGTCATATGCTATGTTCTTACTGAGAGAAAGGCTAATTAGAACTGGGACTGAATAATATATTCTATGTTCTTATTATTAAAATATTCCTATATAGAGTTAAATTATATATAAAATCAATTTATTTTTAGAAATAAGATTCTTATAAATAAATATTCTTATATAGCGTATTTTTATAAAGGAGTTTGACTATACATAAAAGATTTAATGTTATTTATCAAGCTCTTAATAAACTTTCATAATAATTTAATAATTATTTAAAGGATACCCTGTAGAACAAAATAATAGTTACTATGTAATTAAAATTTATAATAATCAAGACAAAGAAAAATTACTAAAAAAAGCACATTCAATCAATACTAGATATGATATTTATTATATTGAAAAAGAAGTGATTAGAATTCTCTCATATCAAGTTGTATTAGTAGATATATATATTATCATAGAAATTCCTGTAGGAGTTGTATGTCA